TCTGTTAGTAAGTGTTGATGAACTATGAATACTGTTACGTTCTTTTTTTTATTTCAATTATTTTCAAACCATTAATATAATCATTACAGCATCATTACATAAGCCCAGCGCTCAACATAGGCCTTCTAACCTAGGTCCTGAGCCACCTGCATTAATCTACTTCCAGCATCTTTTGCCTGGTCGTCACTCCATTCAGCTCCATATAGTAGTCCGTCACTTGAATACCCCCAATAATCACTCATGACATACACTTTGCCTACCGGTACATGCCTTTCATACGAAAACCTTTCTTCCCCTTTAGTTGTTGTTTTTCGAGCTACATGGCCGTCCCACTGCCACTTAAACTTAATGATCCGTTGATATCCTGAAATTAAAGTGTTTCCTGCAGAAAAGCTATGGACTATGTTTAAAGATTGAACTTTCTTATATAACCAACAATGGAGGACCAGATATCATATTCATATATCATCACTATTAATACCCACTGTTAGTAGACTCTTGGTTTTAAGTTTTGAGATAAACGTATAAATGTATAGTAACCTAACTCTGCCCTACCGAGTTTAATCCATCGATGTCCTTCTACATCTATCTTATTATTTAATATATTTATGTTAGATATTTGTGTTTTGTGAGGCATTTCACCTTAATCCTGTGGTGACACGACTTCTGAAGTTTTCCTTGTTTTGATTTAGCAGCAGGTGTCTATGAACGTTATCACGTGGACAGTAAGTTTGATTGACACTTTGTTTTCAAAAAAATGAACGTAAAACGTCTCCACGAGAAACAGACTGAAAAAAAAACATAGTAGGGTACTTAGGTTTTTATAAATAAATAAAAATACAGTAAAAAATAATTTAAATGTGGTGGTAGTGATTACTACTTTTATTCAGCTTAATTTTATTGTACTTAACTATTGCCATTTCTTCGAAATATTTGTAACGCTTTTATTATCAAAAGTAGTTTTTTTATTTTTAAATAAAAATAGAGAAATAATTTAAATAAATCACTACTCTTTTTCGCTTGGAGTAACTTTTATTGCAGGTACTTTACTATTCCAAATTCAACGAAACATTTCTGACGCTTTGATAATTTTTTTATTTAAAAATAAAAATAAAAAAATATTTAAATTAATCACTCCTCTTATTTAATTGAAGTTACTTTTATTTTAGATATATTCATAATTCAAATTTATAGGAAACATTTCCAACTCTTCAAATAACCAAACAAGAGTAATAACTACGAATGCAATAATTGTGTTTACAAAGTTCTCACTGCAGCTCTCAAGTGGCTCCGGCGAGCGGTCAGCCGCCAGGCTTGCTCGAGAAGTATTACCTAATTAAGTTACCCTAGCTACACTGCGTGCCACTTGCAGCCATCACTTATTCTAAGCATAGAGCTAGAGTAGCAGCGGGAGCTTCACTGATTATTAAATATATTTATAGTACAATTTATTTTACTAATATGTTAAGTATTTTACTACGTGGTAGGAGTTTTCTGCTTAGAAGACAGTCTGGGTATGTATCACCGTCTTAACAATTTCTGCATCTAATAAACATTGTTTGCACTGCTGTTTTTCGATTTGAATAGCAAAAAGAGCCAGAATAATTATAGGCTTGAGGCATTTTACCTGAGTTTTCAGAGGTAGACACACCTGGTAATTTCACCGAGTGGCCTACTTCAAGCGAAGAATGCTACAGTTGCGTTATAACTTCTACTCTTTCTTAAAAATGCTTGCGTTAAGAGTGATTCACCACAAAAGTTGAATAGCAAATTTGAACCACGAAAAGTCGCGGTTGCCGTGGAATGTCGAGTTTGCTGTCTGAACCCTACCATTAGGTTACTGTAACTTACCCACTATTTTTTCATAAACAGAAAAAAAGGTAAAGGATTGAAAATATTACGATTTATATATATTTTAACGCTAAGGAAACCCCTTATGTAGCCATACCGCTTAAATTCAGCAATGTTTTGTGTAAGTATTTACAGAAGCGAAACTATATTTGAGTGACGTGGTAATTTTCATTACATACGGATGACTGTACTAATTGGGGAAAGTTCGTTGTTAATAAAATTGATATTATTGTGTGTAATTTACAGCTGAAACTGATATGATATACGAGGATAGTTGTAGATACCTATTGACCACACCATCAAACCACAATCACGTGTAGTTAGCGCTCGTTTGTCACAATTTTACTATAGAAAAATTAACAATCAAGCATGGCAACTATGACAAGCATCACCTCCTCTATGAATCAACGTATGAGAAAGGCCTCAGTTCAGTAGTGAACTAGTGATAAACGGTAATTAATGTATGAATAAAAGAATACGCAAGATGGGACAACCCCCGTGTTTGTTCTGCATAAGTCCGACCAAAAAAATTAGTTTTAAAATGGAGGTAGCCGTGGTTAACTATGACTTTGAGATGTTGAATACATTAATAATCAGTATTCATATAAATATAAGAAATATGGATCTTACACTAAAACTTACACTTCTTTGCCTATGCTATACATACATTTACTTTTATACCGGGTAGAGCCATACTGCAGCTACATTAGTAGTATAATTATATATAGTAGTACAGCACGAATGGGTCGGCTCGACTGGAGAAGTTTCATGCTTTCAGAGAATACCAGTGTTAACCAGCAGCTCAACACTGATGTTTTTCGTGTGGTGATTGTAGAGAACCGGAGACGCATTTTATTAGAAACGAGGTATTACATCTTAGTTCTCACGGGTGACAAAGCGTCTGAATTTTGATTCATTATCGAAGATAGATGTAGATGTCTATGGGTCACAGCAACTACTTGTCATCAGGAGGACTGTGCTCGTTTGACACCCTTATCGTATAAATAAAAAAGCTATGGTTGTAGCACAACCCCGATCGGGGTGGGTCTCCGATCGGTTGGACCACACTCTCATAAAGTACCAGGATCAAATAGCACCATAATGCTCCTGTGTTTCGTATCGTTAATGTGGGTAATCGGAAATCCTTTTTACTGGAAAGTAATGTTCTAATAATAGGCAATATAAATATGTTGGGGACTAGCATTTTTTATACAGCAATAGAGACTGCACTTGTGCGTGTGCAAACACTCGGGCACTACAATCCTGTCCTGGCCTGATCATTGTAATCGTTGAGATGGCCACCGTGCTCAAAATTCGGTTTGAAGGACATTATTATTTTTATGTTAGGCTATAAAAATGTATGAATGTAAATCTCACTCGCTCACTTTAACTTAATAATATGAGAGCAAAAAATTCTTGTATGTCTGAGAAATTAAAGAATATATGAAGACATGTGATATAGTTTCGTCCGGAGTGCAGTGAAAGCATCCTCAGTCTAAAACACTTACAGGGTCTGAGGAAATGAAAGGAGTCCTGATCCAACAGTGGGATTCCATTTGGCTGTTACTAAATTTTTTTCTTAAGGCTCGTCATCAAAAAATGATTGTCAGGACATATTTTACTGATACGTAAGGATTCAAATTTGATGCACTAACGAAAATGAACAAGTTTGACAAGTTTTAATTACAAAAGCAATATAGTGAGTGTATTATTTAAGAAAGAAAATAAGAGTTAATTAAACATTAAATGTATTTGTGTTGAGGTAAAAGTATAGATCCCAAAATTATACTAATTTATACATAGTAGAGCTACGCGGTAATATAAAATAGCGTAGCGGCCATAAATTCAGTAATTCTCATTTGTATGTTTATCAGGGTGTTGAAAGGAAAACTATGGGAAATATCACAAATGCTTCCGACAGCTGGCGGCATAATTACTCCGTTTATGCCTGACGTAAAATAGCCAATATAGTGAGCAACGTCCACAGTGAGAAAGGTCTAGTGCTGTTTTTTCATAGAATAAGGATGACAAACGTGCACATGGTTCACTTGATGCTAAGTGGATGCTGTGACCCATAGACATCTACATTTATTCTCGATTAAGAATCCATACGCTAATGCATTGTCACCCCTAATGACTAAGATGGAATACCTCGTTTCTATTAAAAAAGTGTCTCTGGATCTCTATACTCATCATACGAAACCCAGCAGTACGAAGCTGAGATTTTATGCTGGTATTCTATAAGAGCGTGATTCTACCCTGGTCCAGCCGACCCATTTGCGCTACAACAATAATAAAATCCTCCCTATAACTTTTGCTATGATTCGATGTATGAGATAAGATGTACATTGTACATGTAACAAGAGTGACCTACATATACTTACACAATTTTTGCCCCAATAAATATCCCCAAAGATTGCTTCTTAAGAGGCAAATATCTGCCCTACGAAGCAATCTAAAGGGAGGCCTATGTTCAGTATTGGACTTTGATAGGCTGTGGCGGTAATATTCTAACTGTCGGGCTTATAAGTAATGCTTGTGTAATGTGTAATGCGGTCTTATTGATATGTAGCAATTTTTCTAGACAACCTAAATAGGAAATAAAAATAAGTGATAAGATGATTAATGAGTAGAGTGCACTATAAATAATATATATAATATAAAATATAAAGAGCTATATTATGGTCGTAGCATGAATGGGTCGGCTCAACCGGGGGAGGACCACGCTCTCACAGAATACTAGCGTAAAATAGCAGCTTAATGTTGCTGTGTTACGTAGGGTGAATGTAGAGAACCGGTGACCCGTTTTACTGGAATCAAGGCATTCCATCTTAGTTCTTGAGGGTGACAACAATTCTGCATTTTGATTTGTAATCGAGGTTAAATGTAAATGTCTATGAGCCACAGCATCCACTCACCATCAGGTGGACTGTGTGCTCGTTTGTCACCAATATCCTAGATACAACCCCCCTCTCTCCGGGCCGTTGGTACACTCAGTGCAACGCAGCAAGTTATACGAGCGTCTAAGTCAATGCAGGTAAATATGACCCAGCGTCATCGCTGACGTAGTATTTTTGTAACTTACTTTTATTCGTTTATTTAGTGTTTATTGCTAATTTACTTTAACCTTTTTCAGTTTTTTGTCAACAATGTTATTAAGTGAAAACCCAGAGAGAATTTTATCAGTGTTAGAAGTGTCGGAGTCCGAAGAAGCAGACTCTAACGCCGATTCGGACGTCAACGTTGAAGACCACTCATTTGAACGCAGTAATAACAGTGAAAGTGAACAAGATGCTAGTGATACGAATATGGAATCGGATTCATCGTTGAATCTCAATATTATCTATATAATATATTAGATCAAATACGTCAGCAGTTTTTCAAAGGAAGGGATGGAACGATATGGCAAAAAGCACCTTCGAGACTGAATGTGCGTAAAATATCATTAAATATAATAACTGAAACACCTGGTGCTAAAACAGTAGCGAAAATTGCCAAGACTGTGTCAGAATATTGGAACTTATTTGTTACCCATGATATGTTGTGTAAGATCCAAACATATACCAATTCACAAATACGAGAAACAAGGGCATCGTGTATCTGAGTAGATGAGAGTAAATGTAGATATATTGGTGAAGTAGAAATAGCGGAATTGAAAGCGTTCATAGAACTTTTGTACCTCACTGGAATATACCGTTTAAATAGACAAAATTTGAATAACTTGTGGCAAGCATATGGTCCCCTGTTTTCACGCTGCGCCCTCCCCCCACAGGAGTGAAAATTTTAGGAAATTTTAAATTTCACTACGTCAGTTCAGAGATTTTAACAAAACAGACTACGCTTCGATGACAAGTTTACACGTGATGAAAGAGAAGTACTTGATAATTTAGCACCAATACGTGAATATTTCAAGCATTTATTGACGAATGTAAAAAAAATAATTCACTGGGAGAAAACTGCACTATTGATGAGACCCTAGACACATTCAAAGGACGATGCAAATTTAGACAATATCTACCGTCTAAACCAGCAAAATAAATATAGGAATAAAAACGCCTTAGTAGATTCAAAAACATTTTACGTAAAAATTTAGAGATATATGCTGGTAAACAACCAAATGGCTCATATTCGATTAGTAATAAACCGTTTTATGTAGTAAATCGCCTTGTGCCAATCTCCAATACTCATCGTAATGTTACCCTTGATAATTGGTTCACAAGCTGCAAATTAGTGTCTCATCTACTAAATGAATACCACCTCACTTCAGTAAGCACCTAACGCAAAAAAGAAGGAAATATCACTTCAATTTATCACATTACGTGGAAAAGAGCTAAACTCTTCGACTTTTGCATATCAAAAATATATAATTCTGGTCTCTTATATTCCGAAGAAAATATAAGTTGTCCTCTTGATGTCGCACTTGCACCATGATTCCAGCATTGATGAATCTACTGGTGATAACCGAAAACCTGAAATAAAACTTATTATAATGAAACTAAGAGCGGAGTGGATGTAGCTGACGAACATTGTGCTAATTACAATGTGAGCAGAAACTCAAATCGATGACGATTGACAATTTTTTACGCAATGCTGAATATATCGGGCATATGTTCTAATACGAGTATAATATATCTGGCTAATAATAACGAAACACGTTCGAAAAGGCGCCATTTCATAAGAAACCTGGGACTCGTAGTACATGAGCATTTACAAATCCGAAAGACACGAGTGAATTTACCTCGTCAATTGCGTAAAAAATCTCAGATTTCATGGGAGAACCTACCGAGGAACCTCGCATTAATGTTCCAAGAAGTCTAAAAAGGATAAGAAAACACCTCATACATGTCATGCATACCGAATTTACATATGTATGTCCTGATCATTTGATTCCGTATCGCAATAATTATAGTAGTTCCATATCTGTGAATGAGCAATCAGATGACTAATTCCTTCTTATTTTTATGATAAGAATTTATGTTTATGTATACAAAGACTTTTTGCGTGTGTTATAAGGAAATGAAATAAAAATTGATTTAAAGAATATATTACTACCATTTTTATTTTACTTCATATGCAAAGAACCCTTATTTTTTATAGGATGGGGTAACAAACGAGCACACAGTCCACCTGATGGCAAGTGGTTGCTGTGGCCTATAGACATCTACATCTATCCTCGATTACGAATCAAAATGCAGATGACAACGCATCTGCAACGCAACCCGTGAGGACTAAGATGTAATGCCTCGTATCCAGTAAAAAGGGTCTCCGGTTCTCTACACTCACCATACGAAACACAGCAGCATTAAGCTACTATTTGACGCTGGTATTCTGTGTCCTTCCCCGGTCGAGCCGACCCAATCGTGCTACAACTATACTACTAATATAACTGTAGCATGGATCTACCACGTATAAATTAACTTATTTATTAACATTTATTTAAGTTCAGAAAATTACTTGAATTTAAAATTATCGAAAAAGTTCTAGTCATGATGACCCGGTGGCGTCGCCCACGTTATTTTTTTTTTAATTTCATTGGCGTCGGTTTAATAAACATACCGGAATTTACTTAATTGACAGACTACTAATTACAAAGCGACAGGAAGAGATGAAGGGAGGAGGGAGAATTTACAAGGATGTTCCAAGTATTTTAAAGGAGATGTAGCACGTTTAATAGTAATGGTAAGTAGTTTTAAAGCTTCATTCTAAGAACTGAAAAAGATTTACTGTAAAAAGTAGAAGAGTGCTAGGGACATAGAAGGAAAAGGTTTTCTAAGGATCGAAGGGAAAGCTTATGAGAGGAGTTGAGAATTTGGGAACGTTCTTTAAGGTAGGGAATACTTGATATATAAAATTAAACGCAGTAGAGAGCTGAAAGGATATGAGTATTCCGACGAATTCGGATTGGAAACAACTTGAGCTAGCATGGTATTCTGACACATGGTCATATTTACAAAGTCCAAATATTAACCGTATACATAGATTTTGGGGTCGCTCAAGTCTGTTAAATTGCTCCTCGGTAATGTCTTTATAGCTTACGATAACTTATATCTCTGTATATCTATATAATCTCTCTGTACAATCTATTTCGCAACTTAGCACGCAGTGCCACATCGAGCTGCTGGTGAGGCTACCTCTTTAAAATGTTCGCATAATTCCCATGCCATCTATTCATAACTACAAAAATGTATAAAAACGCCTAGTCAGTTACAGCATTTGATTAGAAAAAGAAGTATTGGTTGATGGCTTATTTCATTACTAAGGTCTTGTTTAAATTACTTCAACAAAATCGTATTACTTGGTTGCTAGTGAAGGCGGTACTCAATAACATGTAGCTCCATATATAGCGATAGCAATTACCTGGCTCCGCACTATTGACTATCGATCGCTCCCTCTCCAGAAGAGTACACACATAAAACTGTTTCATTCTATATGCATTTTTGCTTTTGTTATTTTTTATTGGAAAAGGATTATTGGAACACAATAGACAAAAATAATCTCAGAGCTTCGGCTCTTCAAACACAGCTGATATGAAGAATCGACGCTCGGAGAAGTCTGGAGTCTGTGAACACGTACAGGATCGACCCCGTTACTACATAAGATTTGATAAATAACACTGATTCCTCACAAGGATGATTTGCGAGGCTATTGAAATCAATAAACACCTTATTTGAATAGAGAAGATGGCTGAGTGCTACCATCTGCTTGGGATCCTATAATTAATTAAATTAATTCCCAACCCAAGCATACAACCGCAAGACTTCAAGATATTATAAGTTTGTACTGCGTAGATCGGAACAACATTTAATAATTTCAATCTGGAGGTAGCCGTGGTTAACTATGACATTGGGACCTCAAACACCTCAGTGCACCTATGACCATGGCTGCTGTAAAGCACTTGAAATGTTGGGAATAAAAAATATAGGCGATAAAATCCTTTTTTCTTTTGTTCACTTTCAATTTATTCCAATTTTTGCATGTCAAAGCGCAAAGCGCGCAAAGCGCTTAGGTATGTTCTACTAGCGCCTAAAAATCAAGAATCCGACGTTTTGTCGTATCAAATAAATTGTATCTAACAATCATATTGAACACATAAATGAAATAAAAAAATGCATATTCATAAAGATAAATGATTGTTAAGCTTATTATTATTTTTAATAAATCGATTAATTGTTATTTTTATACTAAAAGATAAATATATACACGCCATAAGCTAGTATTTATCAAGTCCGCGTAGAGGGGTAATCACGACAACTTTTTACAATATCAATTGTACAACTCAATCTGTTTTTTAATCTCTTCATCTATCATGTGGGAAGCCATGGAATATTATGTTTACAAAGATTTTTTTAAATGACTGTTTAATTTTGTTTGTATGGTGTAGAGAAGCGGTGTACTATTTTACTGCAAATGAGGAATTCCATCTCTGTCCTCTGGGGTGACAACGCATTAGTATTTCGATACTTAATGGAGGATAAATGTAGAGATTTATGGGCCACAGCAGCCACTTACCCGTATGCTCGTTTGTCACCCTGATTCTATAAAGAAAAAGCCCATAAAATGTACAGCTGTGTATGTTGTTCTCCCATTGTAGGCGAACTGTTTGGCAGGCGGATAGGCGATGGTAGTATCAGACGTATCGCACCTTAGACGCTGCTTCTTGATCCGGTTTCAATATTTTACTTTTAGCGTAAACGATGTTTGACCTATTATAACAAAGTATTTATATATATAATTTTCCGATGCCAAGGAATTTGAATTTAAACATAAAACGTCACTGTGTGATTTATTTGTTTGTTCCTTAATGCAAATTTTCTTTATAGTTTTCCACGTCTCTTTCATGTCATTTTTATTTCTCGCTATTCCTCTTTTTCATACTCTTTTTTCAATTTATTTTAAAGTTTATTGCAGTAATTACGGTATCCGATATAAGATACACGCAAAATATTATTATTTGGATATTTTTTTGTTTAAAGATTAATTCCTGAATCTAATGACCGAAGTAGATCTTGTATTATCAAGTGCTTAATATTAAAATTTTATTTGATATAGTGTACTTAGTGTATTTCATTACAATTGTTGATAGATGCAGTTAAAAATTGGAGGCAATTTGGTTGACCATGATTATGTAATATGTAATTACGGGACAGTCTGGAGTCCCATAAGAACCATGCATTTTTCCAGAATAATTGATGATATATAAACATGATTATTCCAAAGATTTCTTTGGAAAAAAATATGTTGTGGTAACCGTAGAACTGGAGCCGTGGTAGCTCGGATGGTTAGTGCTAGCTGTAAATTTGACAATACTCGAGTAACCCATGTTCGATCCCCTCGACACCACTGCAATTGTTAACTGCAG